CACACACACACACACACACACACACACACACACACACACACACACACACAGACACACACACAGTGTGGTATCAGTCAGGTGGTACCTGAAGCCCAGCTTACAGTAGACAGTTATTTTGCTCCAGGCCTGCTGAGACACAGTTGTGAGTCCTGATGAGCGCAGATACACAACTGTGCTGGAGTCTGAAACAGAACCACACAAAAACATCACTGTGTGGGAAATATTAACATTAGTTATTGTGTGTTGGGGGGGGGGGGGGGGCATTGAGTCAAACCTGCCACTGAGCCATGAGATCTGATGTCGTGGACCACAAAACCAGCAGCAAACACAAGCAGAACCAGGAGCAGTTTGGACCAGGGAAACCCATGACCCTGCATCTTTACCTGCAGGTTCTGGACACACAAAACAAACACACATGTTTTWACACTTAGACAACTGGTTCACAAAGTCAGGGATCTGGACCCCTTATTGRGTCATCAAACATCAACTGAGGGTCCTTAAATGATTTCCACTTGACAAAACCAATCATGAACAAATAAAAGTAGCATCATGGTTATTAGGCTTGTTTATGTTATTGGTCCATGTAAGTCAAGTTTTATAGCACCTCTCTTAGAAATACATTCACCAGGTGCTGTACAATCATCAGCAGCATATGAAAACTACAAACACCACCACATACAAAGCAAATCCAACAATAAAACATTAGTGGACCAACAAACAGTTCAGCTGCTAAAAGACAAACTAAGTCAGAGTAAAACCAAACAGTTGATGAGTGTGAGCTCACCTGACACAGTGTGTTGCACTCCTGCAGTTCTCCTGACTCATTAGTGTCTCTCATTTCCTCATTGGTCACTCGAAAAGACTGGATCGTTTCTTCAAGGTTTTTACGTAGCTGTCAACACAAACCACAACTTAAGAATCAAACATAAATATATATTAATTACAAAAACTCCTCAGACCCGTATTTATCAAACTTCTTAGAGTTACTCTAAAGGATGCTGTTAAGAGTGGACTTAAGTGTTGTTTGATAAATATGAAGCCTGGTTTCTGCTTTAAGAGTCAAACCTTTGGAGGCAGAATGTTCCATGAGTTCAGTAAATGGTTCAGCAGCAGACTGGACAGGAAACAGAAACAAAGTGAAGTCAGTTTAGTCCCAGACTGAGTTAACTTTCCTCAGTTTACAGTAAACCTGTCCGTCTCACCTGGACTGTGGTAAGTGTTTGGTGTAGAGCTGCCTCCACACTCCAAGACTCTGAACATCCACACACAAACACTCCGTCATGCTGCTGAGTAACTGAAAAATACACAAACATTTCATCCATGCTTTAGTCCCAAACCATTAACTCTTTTCAGCTGACTGTGTTCAGACAACCTGGTGGTAAATTAGTGAAAAAAATAATAAAACTACATTTAAAACCAAACAAAGTCCTAGARTGTGTTTACTAAATCAAATGCTTCTGAATGTTTGTGATAATATTCAGGCAGGTCTGTTTGATACATTAGATCAGATTATATTCAACTCAGTCACTCCGGGGGCTGGGGGGTTGGTAGTTGAAACCCTGCAGCATGTACAACCTTGGGGAAAATACTGCAATCAGGATGTTCGTTCAGTTGTTTCATTTTGTAGGAAAAATCAGATCACAGACACACAAAACTAACGTCATTTCTAATGGAAACTTTCTGACTTTAAGAAACAT